CGGGATAGCTGGGGTATGTTTTGTAGGCAGCTTCAAGATACCGATTAGAGCCCGATATGCAAAAAGCCTAATAAATTAGCTTAATTAACACGACGTCTGTGGGTGTCTTTGCAATAGTCTGTCTTTGATTTGCTTGTGCGTTGCAAATACTGGTTTTTATATTCCAGGTTATTAAATCTAGTGGGTAAGCCTAAGCCAAAGGCATATGGTTTCCTTGGTCACACTGCCATGTATACTCGTTAAGTGGTTTTAATAATTTATCATTTCAGGATCAGGATGGCCAGACAAGAAGGGCAGCTGCTGGTTAATTTGAAAACGAACTATCCCGATGTGGTGGTAGATATTGAGAAAATAGCTTTAGGAGAGAGATCCAGAAAGAAGACCTCTTGCAATCAGAAAAAGCAACGAAGGGAGCTTTCTATAGCGGTGTGTGCGTTGCTGAATTCAGGAGGAGGAGTAGTGAGGATGGAGAGTGAAGACAAGAATTACTGCTTTCAGGAGCACGGCATTGGTCTGGACATAGAGCAAAGTCTCAGGGAGTGCATTGCCTGCACCGAGACCAGTGAATACTTCACCTGGATGCAGCAGCGGAGTCACTTGCTGCTTTTTGTTAAAACATGGAGCTGTGGAGGTCCGAAGCAGAAAAATGCAGCCACAAAACCGCGTATCTGTAGCTTAAGCACTGGCTTGTCCCATAGGTGTTTCACTTCAGTTCTCCCTATGACTTCAAGCGGCGCTGCTGAATTTCTGAGGAAGAAGGAAAGCTCTGCCAAGTGCCGTGATGAGAACGGGCCAAGCGCTAAGAAAGCTCTGATGAATTTTGATGGGGGACCGAAGGAGACCCCTGTGAACACTGAAGAGCACAACATCCAAGATGCTGCTGCCACGCTTTTAAAAAGAGACAAACTGATGTTAGGGGAGCGTCTGGGTTTCGCAGAGACAACACATATTGAATTTAAGAACTTCTCTACACAGAGTATCTTGGAATACATTAGAAAAACCCTTCCCAATTATGCCTCTGCCTTTGCAAACACTCAGGGTGGTTATTTGTTTTTTGGAGTGAATGACAGCGGTGAAGTCGTTGGAAGCCATAGTAAAGTGGAGAAAGAAGCTTTAGAAAAAACAGTAGCTGATACCATGGGCTCGCTGCCCGTCCATCACTTCTGTGGCTCTCAGGCTGGCGTGCAGTTTAAGACTCACATCCTGAGCGTTTATGACAAAGCAGGCGGCTTGCAGGGCTACGTATGCGCTGTGCGAGTTGAACCGTTTTGCTGCGCTGTTTTCCACAATAACCCTGAATCCTGGATGGTGGTGGGTGACACGATTGAAAGACTGAGTGTCAGGAAATGGACGGAGCTCATGACAGCTGCAGACCCAGGTAAAAGCTGCATTTGCATTAGTGCCAACTTCATTTCTGCCTCGGTTTGTAAACTTTCAGGCAGAAAGGTCAACTTCCTTTGTTCTGTGTTCTCACCAAACCTAGAAACGGGGCTTTGCCCCATAGCACAGTCATAGGCACCGGGGGTGATGGTACGGTAACCGGCCTCTATGGCAAACCTCAGCAGGACTTTTTGAAGCACTCCCAACTGGAATAAGCCTTCCTAGGGATCCCATATGCCCCTAAATGAAATGGAAGGATTCAGAATCTCGCAGGACTGGAAACTTAATGGAAGCTTCGTCTGAATGAGAATCACAGAAAACTTTTGAAGCTGGCTTTGTCTGTTCACATACTAGGGAGGGAGTGATGTCTTGGTGGAAATAGCAGGACTTTTTGAAGCACTCCCAACTGGAATAAGCCTTCCTAGGGATCCCATATGCCCCTAAATGAAATGGAAGGATTCAGAATCTCGCAGGACTGGAAACTTAATGGAAGCTTCGTCTGAATGAGAATCACAGAAAACTTTTGAAGCTGGCTTTGTCTGTTCACATACTAGGGAGGGAGTGATGTCTTGGTGGAAATCTGGCCCCTTTAGGTTCCTAAAAGGAGTTTATTTTGAAAAACAAGTCCTTATTGGTGCTGATCCTCATGGAGTGAAATCCCCAGTGCTTGATGCACTAGCAAGGATTAATCTCCATGCCCTGGTTTGATCTTCGTGGATCCACCACCTTGGCTCAAGTTGTGTGCCAGCACTAGAGTAAAATAATCATTTTAGCTGTAATGGTGGTGTCAAACTGAGCTGCAATTTTTCTTCTCCTTATCAAATACTAATCACAAAGTTACAAAGTCAGCAAAACTGTGGTAGCTACTAAAACCTGGTCAGTCGTCTCCTCAGAGATCAGCTTGAGGTTGAGAAAAGTCCTTTCAAGTCTGCAGCGCAGCCGGCAATGCAGAGCGTGCAGCAGGCTGCAAGCCACTCCCTCCTTCGAGGCTCACACGCGTGTCGGATGTCTACCGAAACCTCACTTGTACACCCGGTGTGGCTTCGTGGTTGTTAAAGGCTGTTTTGAAGAAGCAGGGGTGCAAGGCTTTGCTTGTTTTAAGGCATGTTGTCCCACTTCGTTGTGAAATCCTTCCCCTTCAAAAGCTATGTCCTGCATTTTGTTCCATCACCTGTATGGCAAGTCCTAGAGAGTTTATTCCGACTGCAGATTTGAATAAGAGTTTTTCAGTCTTAAGATGAAACTAACCTTCCTTTCCTACAGATTCCCTGTAACACAGATTTCCCTTGAGTGTGTGTCCATGGCAGTGACTGCATGAGCAAGGAATATACTAGCCAAAAGGGACCTCCTGTCCCAGCGGAGCCCCGGCCGTGCCAGGCGGCTCTGGCCTCATGTGAAATCTCTCCTGTGGCCTTGGTCTGCGCTTAAAGCTGGGATGTGGTCTCTTCAAAGGACACAGTCACTTTGTGACTCTGCAAAAGACAGAGAGGGTGGTGTTGAGAGGAGGGGAACAAAGCAGCAAGGTCTTCTGGAGATGTGCATCTACTGAAGAGACCCGTGGTACACGTAGGTGGTTCCTGTAGGGTGCTGGTGCACTGAACAGGCACGTCAGGTGTCTTACCTGTGTGCTGGGGTCTCAACAGACTCATCCCACGTGGGGTCTAAATCTTGCCTTTGAACTGTAAAACCATCTGTGCGGTGAGCCCTCTCTCCTCTACAGCAGAAGATCCTGTTGGTTTGACAGGGTCATTCTTAACTATGTAGGCAGCCTTTTCTTGAGTAGGACTGCGAAGGGAGGTTTTAAATGAATCATTCTAGTTACGCTTTAGTGCTGGGTTTTAAAAGTTCATATGGAAGGATTTTGATGGATATAACGTATCTTTTTCTTCCCCTAAGATCTTTCAAAGCTGGCTGATAAATTTGAGAATGAGCTCAGTTTGTCAAATAGTCCTCCTCTTGTCAAGCCAGTTTACTCAAAAGTGGGTCTCCAGTGTGTGTCTGAACTCCAAAAACGCCTCTACCCAGGTAAGCTGTTTATTCTGGATATTTTTTTGAATTTAAGATTGTATTGGACAGAACTTCTAGGAATGTAATGTGATATGAGATTTTAGGCACACGACTGTTAGGTATTTAAAAGATGCAACTACTCCAAGAATGTTCAATTCCCTGATTTTTCAGGTGCTTCGATCTCTTCTCCCATTTTTGCCACTAAATATAATCCCTAATGCACACCATGGCTGAGGATATACCTACCGTCCCAGGGGTTTGAGCACTCTCTGTCCCTCTTATGCTCAAAAATCTTTCTATGGACAAAAAAGAGAGAGAATAATTTATTTTTAGCATAAATGAAATCTAAGTAGTCTAACCAAATAATTATTTTTAGTCAAGATCTAGTTGTTACAGGTAAAGGAAGAAAAAGACAATAAATTAATACCACTGTGAAAAAAGTAGTAATAATAATAATAGTTACCTGCATGTTTCCTAGTACCCACCCCTGTTCCTGGCGTTATACTCAGCTTTCCACCGCCACTCAGGAACCCGCTGTCGATGGTTCCAGTCTGCTGGGGGTTGTTAGGGCGAGTGGTCAGCATCCCCGGTTCTTCTGTAGCTGATGTCGATGATTTCTTTATCCTACTCCAGGATCTGCTTGGGGTCACTTGCTGTGGGTTTGC